CTTTTATTCCCTCGCGAACGTCGTGCTGGATGGATTACATGTACACGCGCCCCCCTCCCCCCCCTATTCTATGCACCTGCACGCACGGTCGATCGCCGCTACCACCATGTGTATCTCTGCGCGTCGGCGCGCCGACCATCAGATAGTCAGCTCGAGTGTGGGCTGCAGCACGTCGGCGATCGCGCGCCCGTTGAGCGTCATTGCGGCGCCGCACTCTCCCGCGTACACGTGGGGGCCAGTGGCCTGCTCCTGGTGCAGTGAGCAGCGCGGCTCGAGGCGCACAACGAGCGTCTGCGAGTCGGGCGCGCCGATCGCGACCTCGTGTGCCGGGCCCGGCTTGCCGCCGAGGCTGTCGCGGCGCCGGCGCTGGCTGGTGCAGTTGCACTTGCACGTGTTGGGCTCGTTGGCGTTGGCCAGGTTGGCCTGTGCACTGGTCTGCGCGGCGATGGCATCAGTCTGCTGCATCTGGAACATCGTGCCAGCCTTGAGCCAGGCGATGTCGTCAGCGGTGGTGCGCGCCTCGAGGTCGCGCCGCACGAGCAGGCTCGCATGCACGTGCAACTCGGCCAGGCTGCGCGACGCAAAGTCCAGCGATCGAGCATGGACGGTGCAAGTGTTCTTGACGTTGTTGCCGCTGTTGACAATGTTGCCATGGCTGCTCGCGGGAAAAACAAAACGGCGGGGAAACGAAATGAGCATCCGCTGCACAGAGGGCCAGCTGCTGCTGCAGGGATAGGCACCTACTTGTTTTGCATATGCGAGTTGTTCGTCTGACTCTTGATGATGTTGGTCGACCCGGCATTGCCTCCGCGCGCATACACGGGGCCCGCCGCCGACGCTGCGGCGCTGTGGACGATGGAGTCAAACTCTGCGACGCGGCGGGTGAGGGCGACGTGGGTGGTGGCCATGGTCCCTGTGTTGGCGCCCGTGTACGTTGATGCGGCCGGGGCGGTGCTGGCGACGAGGGCGGCAGCGAGGAGCGTGTAGCGAACCACGGTGACGAAGTGTCAGTGTGTGTGTAGATGCGCGTTCAGTGCGAGCAGGACAGGCCAGACCAGCTGGAATGACGGGGGCAGAGAGAGGGGAAAGGGGTAAGTGACGGCCTCAAGGTGGGGTGGCTACAAGTGCAAGGAAAGGATGAGCGGGCGGTGCGTCTTGCATCTTTATAATGGCCAGTCGCGAGACGGGGCGCATGGTGGTGGCGGGGGTAAGCAAGCTGTCCTCGACCCAGGGGAGCGGCGGCAGAAGTGTATGTATGTGCATCAGTAGCATTCAGCATACGAGCGCCAGGGTGCAGCTCTGCCTCTCTCTCGTCAGCATTAGCATCATCACCATCAGCGTCGCCGTCGTCGTCGTCGTCTTTGACTTTGAGGGTGTCCGAGTCTCTGTGGTGCACTCTGCCGAGTCATGCTGCAGAGTGTCGGTTCGTCCGACCCATGTAACCCCCCATCCCGTCTCTGCTGCGCGCACAGACAGGCAGGCCTAACCATCCGCTACAGACAAACCGCGCGGTAGGGAGTGGCGAGTGGCAGTTCTGGGGCGTGGGGCCTGGGGGCGTACGTTGCGTGTCATGGATAGTGTGAGTATACCAAAGCAGCAGCATGGCTGACAGGGTAGCAGAGTGCGGGCGACCGGGAGAGCAGGGTTGCGTGCGACAGATGCATCTGCACAATGCACGAGACACGGCGCGCCTGTTCCTCGCCTGTGTAGTAACCCTAACCCTTTCAGCAAACACCCCCCTAACCCTCGGAGCCCCGACACTCTCTGGTTCGTCCAGTTCTGTCCACCCCGAGCCAAGCCGATCACACCCACACACACACACACACACACCCGAGTCCCGGACTCGCGCTGGCGCTGGCGCGGTTCTGCCAGCCGCTTCCCTTTTCGCATCTCGTCGCGCGCCCACCCGAGAGAATAAGCACGGCGACAACCAAAGCGCGCACGCACACATGCACCACACGTACAATGAAACCAATGCCAAGCACGAAATCGACATGTGTAAATCCACGCAACGAGAGATGCGCACGGCCCATCACAGGCACAACACGGTGTGGCATGCTTGCTGCACATAGATGGAGCTCCATATGCAAGGCCGTCTCAGTCGGGCATTATCGCTGGCCAATAATTGTAGAGCCATGCACGCAGGGCAACAGGAGGCTGTCGTTAGCAGGGAGGTAGCACAATGTTGTGCAGCTTGTTTGGATGACATGGACGATGCTCGCAAGATCGGCATCGAACAGTACGACGGGGATGTGCTGTTGGACGAGGAGCTGATCGACCCGAATCCTCGGTCCGGACAAAAAGTGCTGGCGCCCGTCCAAGGCAATGCTCAGGAGACTCGTAGCTTTATGCACACGAATATACACACATCCTTTTTGGTGCAAGTCCAGCGAG